TTCGTAATAACCTTATAATATTTAGTATACATTTAATGAATACTAACAAAATTAAGTAATGTTATTGCAGCTGTCGCAAACCTATATTTAACAATTGCAAAATTATCAGTATTAATGACAGTGAAAAATCTTTTTTAAAGGAATAGAAATTTGAAAAAAAAAAATGACCCACAAAATAAGATAAATTATGGCTTACATATATGTTGGGTTTTCTTATCTCGTAGCAGTATCTTTTTTGTTGCACAGATAGTTTCAGCCTGCAGAGAAAGATTCATTTCAATCAATCACTTGTAAACACCAAGACTGTGCAAGGATTTGATAACCAGGGAGGCTAGTCCGGTCAACAATAACTTGAATCAGTGACTTATTGCTCCTTGAACGAATTGTAGGTTAGGTGATAGCATGAGAGAATATAAATTTAATAAATAATATTAAATTTATAGTAGCCAACTTTTGAAGTAGATATCCAGTATATTTCCGTTGAATTTTAGATTTTGCTAAAAAATTGATTGTAACTGTACACCATCACACTCTGAAGAGAGAATGAGCATACAGAATTGACAAGTCAGTTCTTATTTTCAGACCACCCATGCAAATCTCACAATAGAATACGATTAGATTCCAATTAGATTCTCACTCTTAATCTGGCTAGAATCTTATCACTGATAGATATTCCTGTGTCAATTTAATTGACATTTTTATTACACATCTTGTAAAACAGTATTCTTATTTATACTAATACTAATTCTAATATACTTGAAAAAGCGAATGAGTTTTAATAAATTATGAGCGGTATAGTACAAACTATTCTGAGATACTATAAAATGAAGAGGAGGAAACATGTGTCCAAACATTTACATTATGGTCATTTGTATGCAAGATATTTTCAAAATAAATACACAAATATTTATTGAGTTCTTTAACTGCTAATCCATGCATCACCTTTCTGATCTGAATTTTTTACACACAGTGTCAGCAAAAATTGACCAAAAATAAACAGATACTTGCTAGATCAGATCAAAAATTCAGTATGGCATAGCAACATTTGAGCCAGATTACATTACATCAGCATGTATGAAACAAAGCTGAAGTTAGTATTGTAAAATTAAATATCCTCCTGAAACTACATATTCTTCTAGATTCTCCTTGCTACTTCCTTGCATGTGATTGCTAAGCAACCAGCAATCCTGGAACTCATCTATTGAACATGTAGACCACATTCACATCATTTGAGTGAATATTATTGAACCTACCTTAGTATGGAGATAGTAGGCATTACCAACTATATATTTCTTTCCAGTTGCAAACTGAATAAACTCTTTAATAGGTCGTTTACTTTTCACCATAAGTTCAATAAAATCACTTGATGGAGCAGTTTGAAGAGATGACAGATTCTCTTCAAAGGTAGGCTTCCTTGCTTGTTTTGGAACCAATCTTGGATAAAGCCGTCCACAAACCTGTTTTTGATTTGTGCATGGTGATTCAAGAGAAAATATGTGCAAGATTGTGGTGTCACTTTTTCACACATTAATCTTTACATGGCAAACAAGCAAGGCCAGGAAAATACAACAAAATTAGCGAAAAAAAACATAATTCCAGGCATTTTGTTATAAGGTGGTAGGTAAGACCATGGAAGGTACTAACGGAAGGAGCCACAACGCTATTGTTTTAGCTTTACCCTATGATTGTTTGTCAATATTTGTTCACAAACATTGATTCTTGTTAGCTCTTGGCATCTTCTTACAATGGGTTACGCTAATCATGAGCATTCGGTAATATTCAGAGCATGTTCGGTAGCAATAGACGAACTGCGCATGCACAAGATTGAAAATGACGTCGAGTTAGAATGTTGTTGTTTCCGGAGATCTTGGCGAATTTTAATGAAAAATTGGCAGATATAACTTCGATTGAAGAAGAACTGATGAACTATCGTGAATCTTTTTGTATTTGTAATGGTGATGAGACGTAATCAATGATTGCCTGTGACAATAACGTGGGTTTGACGCCTGAAACTGTTTGAAATTTTACTTTTTCAAGTATTAATTTCAAATACAAATGTACTGAAAAAAACGCATTTTACTGTGATGATAGAGTATACTTGTTGTTTTCGAATGCAGCACGCCCTCTCGTGCTGGAAATTAAGGTAAACACGACGACAATCACCAGCGGCTCTCTCACTCCCAACGACGGTGAGGAATAATCACACATTTACATAAATCGGCAGATTATTTTCTATATATATCTTGAACATATATTCACAAGAAATTATACTTGAATAATTACCAGTTGTTTGTATCGAGTTTTCCAGTCAGCAGCTCGGCCCAGATACGGTTTTGTTTTCCTGGATTTGCACAATATTTCAACTTTTTGTTTCCACACACTGTTGCAGCTTGCTATGTCTTTCCATCGGCTACACACTAACTCAGCTTGGCACAAGTTGTAGACGTCTAAATTTCGAAAGATCTCCAAAAGAACAACCTCGTCGCTCAAAACACCCGCCATATTTAGTGACGCTAAGCATTATGGGATCCAGCATGATTTGCATGTGAAAGGAAGTTAGTTTCAATCTATGGCCCGAAGCAGGCTCCCATTTTCACGGCCGAGCTTATCTTTTTGACGCCCAATTTTAAGATTTTCGGCAATTTTAGCAAAATGTAGTCGTTTTTTGGCGAAAATGTCATTTTAGGGGCCAACAATTACCCTTAGACATCGATATTTTCCCGATATTTTCGGGTCCCAAAATCCAGATGAGTACCCCCCAAGTTGCAGTTTACTGTCTATGATTACAGTAACTTTGGTTATAATATATTTGTCAAAGTAACGTGAAAATTTCATAAAAACCGGATGGACATTCTTTCGTGGATAAAGTGGTCTAATTCAGCGCATATTTGAAAGATAATGCGGTCTAGCACTTTAGCATATAGAATATATTTATAGCTGATGTAATCTATTTCAGCATGTTGCATTTGATAGCCTATGTGATCTACTTTAGCACATATAATATT